CTACACAGGACACACACTAACTCTAAGCCTGACCATAACTGAGCCTGACAGAAGATGTCTGTGATGGCCGCCGCTGCAGCTCACCTGGTTGAGCAGGTGACCAGGTTCAGGTTCTGAGGTCCCCGATGCAGCGGCTGCGGGTTCGAGTCCCGCTCATGGCCCTTTGCTGCAGCCCCTAAGCCTAGCCCCTCCCCCACTTCCCTGTCCTGTACCATAAAGGCAAAATGTTTCTGATGAACGAGCAGCTTTGATGCTTCCATCGTTACTCAGAATTCGTCAGAACCACAAACTGGATCAGAACGTGGTAGACTTTCCACCTGCGTGGGATCTGCTTGCTGAGGAGCTGATTTCCTGACCTGAGCTCAGACATCAGTTGAAAAGCCACATGTCACATGTCACGCTATGAATACTTGAAGGTACCATCACAGAGAAGCACACCTTCCTTGATCTTGTGGACGGAGTCGGAAACACCGTCCAGCCTCCCACAGACTCCCTCCAGCTTGGACAGCCTCTTCTCCAGCCCGTCTCCAGACCTTCTACAGTCTCCCATGTCCACCAGCAGCGTGCTCTCGAACCTCCGGACATCCCGGTCCATCTTATCCAGACGGTCCCGGCTGTCCTCGTTGTGCTCCGTGACCTCCTGCTGGATTTTGTCCAGCTCAGAGATGATCTTGTCCTTGGTGTTCCCTGTCAGGGTTCAGAGTGACAGAGTGAGGATTAGCCGGGTGACGGTGCAGCACTGAACGGAGACGGATGGCGCCGCTGAGCTCGGCTCACCGAGGTCGGTGATGACGCTGCCGTGTTTCTGCACCGTGTGTTCGAGACCCTTCAAGGTGTCATTGATGGAGCTGAAGGTGAGGATGACCTCAGACAGTTCACCCTGCAGCGTCTTCAGCTGGTTGTTGTTGATGGAGCCTCCAATCACACTGTGGCCGTCCAAAGGCTTCTCAGCATCCAGCCTGGGCCCGTGTCCACTGGTACCGCCAGAGCCACCAGCGCTACCAGGACCACCACCTATTGGGGGTTCAATTTGCAAACAACATTAACTTTCGGTTCATCAGCTCACAACAAAACTTGTCTCAGCTCCTCCATTTGTCAAAGTGCTGCTGAGGGCTGAAGGAAGCAGGTTCAACAAATCCAGACTTTGTTTGTGTGAGTCTGCTTAGCAAAGCCTGAAAGCCCAGCCAGAGACATCAGGGGTCAGAAGGTCCTGATCAACGTTCTCTGTTAATCACACTTCCTGCTTCAGACTCTGTTCTCATTAAAGGAGGAGTTTAAAGGGTCATGTGACTCTTCTGCAGCAAACGGACC